TCCTTTGGGGGGAATCTTCCTTGCAGCATTTCTTTGGTTTCAGGCGAATTTGCCTGAAGTTGTATTTGGATTCTCTCATTGTTTTGAGAGAGTGTGGTTGTGTTACCTCTCTGTTTGAGAGGTTCGTCAAAGGTGGATGTTTGGCCGAACCTTTGGTACGTGCCGATTCTCCTCCTAATTTCTGAACAGTGCCTTCTTTCGGCATCGTCTTCGTATCCTTGAAAGAAGGATCTCCTTAGCATCTCTGTCGAGTTGCTGATGATACTCCAGTGTGCTTTCACTGGTGGTTCTTTTCATGAATTTTTCACGAGTTCTGTTTTTGTCCTGGCCCATGGCCCAGGGGTATTTTTTTTGTTTCCTCACTATTTTGTGAGAAGTTTATCTCCTTCAGCAAGTCTGTCTGCTTGCTGATTTTTTCAGTCAACGCATCGATTGCGTTGGCCATTCTTTCTAGAGTTATCTCTAGACGAGCTGTGCTATTGTGGTTCGTTTCCTCGATCTTTTTTTGGATTGAGTTTATCACATTTATTATGTACGGTTCCTGGTTTTCCAGGAGGAAGTTTGATTGGGTGAGCAGTGACTCTCCCCAGTTGACATTGCCGCTTCTGGGGGTTCCAGAAGGGGTTCTTGGAGTGAAAACTCCATGCTCGCTTTGTTTAGGCAAGGCCATTGTGGAGTGTGCTTCCATTTCATAGAGGGGTCTGTTTGCTGGTTTTTCCTTACTTTTCCCTCAGCGAACTCCCTCATTTCAGTTTGCCTCCTCTTCATTATCTTGGAGACCTCCTCCGAGGTTAGTGACCTTGCCTTGTCTGGCATGGCATGGGGTAGTGTGAACAGCGGAAGTTCTTTTGGAGCTTCCATGCTCTGGGAGATCCTGCTCTCAGGGTGTTTTTTCGCACCTTCTCAGGCTGGAAGCCTGAGAAGAAGTTGGTCTTCATTTTCCATCCTCCATTCAGACAGAACCTGGAACAAGTCCAGTAGTTTTTCGGATAGCCGACGCAGAGGCTCTTCCCTTTGTTTCCCTTTGTCTGCCTTTGGGGCTTGACTTGGGGACCTGGGGGAGGACTCCAGGGGTGTCAGGGCACACACCCTGACTAGCCCGGACCCACTACACTTCCCGCATGCATTCCCACACCGCATGCTCCGTGCGCCGCATGGTCCGGCCCCGGATCCTGCCTTCATGTGACTTCCGGGTATCCCCGGAAGTTTTCCTGATATGGTGGCCACTGTGGGAAGATGAGAAGTTAGCTTCCTTCTCATCTCCTTACCCACAGTAGATTGTGCCCTGGATAGGACTGGCCAGACCTGAGGCTGTGGGCCATAGGGGAGGGTCATGGGGACCCGGGAGTCGTCCCCTGACAAGGGGATAGTGGGGCCCTGGAGTTTCCTGCGACTCTATCTGATCAGCTTTTTGGGCTGATCATTCGGTGCTTACATGTTTATCACACAAGTCGATCACCTCCTGAGGAGGTGAGGGATCTTCCCCAGCTTGGGTTAGATTGATGTGATGTGGAGTTCTAGGGGTATTGGGCCCCACACTTACTCCATGTAAGTTTCTAAAACCTTCAGGGGACAGCCCTGAGGTGGTTGCTTTTACCGAATCGTGTTGATCCTTGTCATTGTCTGACGATGGCTGTTGATTTGAATCTCCCATGATGGGAGATTGCAGTTTCTTAATGAACCACTCGTTTCTTTTAACGTCGCTGCAGACGCGACCTTGCCCTTGTGGGTGTGTTTAGGTGCCATTGGCGCTACTGAGTCAAATTGTTAAGATGTTAAGTTTTGTGGGTTGTGTTGTAAAACACACCTCATACACTTAAAAAAGTGTGAGGTCTCAGTGGGTAGCTCAGCACACAGAGCTGTAAGTGATACAATGGTGTGTATTTTACGGTGGTGTGTAAGCAGTTACCCGGAGGTTACCGCTTACCCACGTGACTATATGTATCTTAATTACATATGGCTCAGGGTTCAGGGCTATTGCCCTGACAGTGTCAGTAATGCAGACACGAAAGGTATGCCAGTTACGTGTTTTTCCCAATCTTGGGAAACCCCCCCCCCCAATTCAATCGGAGAATGCCACAGGCTTCGGCAGTTGCCTTGCCCATATTTGGCAACATTACCCATTTCCCTGCACAATCATGACTTGTGCCATGAAATAGTATGGTCACATTTTTCATCATTCATTGCCAAGCTTCCCCACTATTCCCCAACCCAACCCAGCTATATGTCATATCCCGGAATCCCGACCCCGCGCATTCCCACCACATCACACCTTCCTAACAACTTCACCATCCCCTACACCTTGCCTCCCCACTCTCCAAGTCACCTTCCCTCCTGACTGTCTCAGCTCCGGTCTGGTTGCGGCACACCGAACCTTGACCACTCCCATCCCGGAACCTCGGTCCCGAGTCGGAACATTCAGAGACCCCGGATTCGCTCCGATATCCTGACGGACCTCCGACATCCCGTGACATGCCCTTAAACCATTCCTCCACCCACTTCTTTTATTGGAATCACCCAACATCCTTCGGATACGCAACTCCGCTTTCGGAGCTACCCGCATCCTTCAGTGATCTCCCTCACGTTATCACTTATTAGTCATCTTCCATTCTTAGCACGACTACCCTCTTACTACCATTCAGTCGGCTAACCCCCTTTATCCATTTGTCTTCCCCATTCATTTTCCAGCCTCCAACTCCGCCCTCCTTGACCCGACACCTCGGTTCCCCGTTTTAGATATCGTTCGGAACCTTTCGGTACCTCTCAGTATCATTTGGTACCTTTCGGTGTTTTCCCCATTTTGTCATTTCAGGCTTTGACTAAAGTCCTCCCCATCCTCCTTTAATAAATACACATAGATTAGAACCTGTAGTTCCTCAGTTCTAATCTTGACTAAAATGCCACCCAAAGTCCCTCTGAGTGATTCCTGTCCCTGTTCTACAAGACACCTCAGACATAAGAAATACAAGGACTAACTGAGACGTAACGGAGGCACAGCGCTCCCTCCGAGTCGCTGAGGCCGCGTCCTTCTTAGAGCCTCTTGTACCATCCAGCAGAACCGGGCTCCCTGAGAAGCTTCGGTTCACTACCGGAGCCCTCGGACCCCCTCTAGTTGAGCCCCACCTGCATTCGGACTCACGCATTTACCCCCCTCTTCCACTACCTCTGGGGTTTTTAACACTATAGGCTGAAGGCTATTACCCAGCCTAACCCAGCTCCAAACTCCAAATTGGTCCCGTTTTTGAACCAAAACAAACTTTTGAGGTGGCACAGTGTCATTGGCTCCCTTTGCTGTCAATGATACATTGGGCTTCAACCCATGTATTTACCACTATTTCTACCACACATCAATATCATGCTTAGTTCCGTTGCTGATAACTAGGGAGATGTTAAATTATAATCAGTTGCATTCAATGGAATGGGATGAGGTATCAACTAGGTGGGAATAACTCTGGGCTCATTAAATGGGTTGGGTTGGGGGATAATAGGGAGGGGACACTCCGCAAGCATCAGTTGGTTCAGGGTTTTGACATAACAAGCATTGCCCCATTGGCCAGACCCGCAAACATGACCCCAATAGCCTACTTACTTGAATTTGGTCACCCCAATGTTGTTTTAGACCTTGCATGTAAGTACATGAAGTTACATGTCCGCATACCTTTCAACCGGGAAATGCCGACACCCCCTTGCGTCCTGGGATGTTCCCATACAAAAGAGGCCTCTGGACCTTCTTTGAACATCCTGAGAACCCCTCTCTATATGCCTGGATATCAGTTGTCCAAGGTGCCGAGTGAACCGCTGAAGCGGGTTGCCATATTTGGAACGCCGCGTTTACAACAACGTTCGCTTATATATTTCCCTGTAAGATATTGGGTACTTGCACAAATCAAGAAGCACAAGTCGAGCTGCCTGGTGTGTAAAGCTCGCTCTATATATGACGACCGACAAATTACAAAAGAAACCAAGTCACAAGTCGCCAAGAAGCAAAAGCTACAGCGTTTTCATCTTCATGTAGCCACAAACCATGCTCGCATCAAGCGTGAACTTGAACAGGCACAACATCGTGCACCTCGATTCTAGACGAGTCCTCAGAGTCAACAGCCAAAACCTTGGTCACTCCCTCGGCTACACCCAATCCCAATTCAACATCCCTCTTAACATCCCACACCTCCCCTTTCACGGCCCACCTCAAAGCCCTCTCCAAATCAACTAACAAGTCCTCCTTGTCTTCAACGCCTATGCTCAATCTGATGAGCCCTGAACTAATGCCCAATTTCTCCCTCGTCTCAACGGGTATACCCGCATGAGTCATCAAAGCTGGGAGTTCAGCAAGCGATTCGACTCCGCCCAATGACTCGGCCAGCGAGAAGAGGTGAGTGGACGTGAGGAAGCGGGATGCAGTTGAGGTAGGTTCAGAAACTTCGGCGGGAGAAAGGATAGATGAAGGAGCGGAGGCGATCTTGAATGAGACCATTCCACTGAATGGAATCCCCTCCAGCCCATCATCACGACCCGACCACGTTCCGCCTTCGATCCATTTACGTGCGTGAGGTGAGAGAAGCGTGTCACGGACGAGTTCGTACACTCGTTCGTTATCTTCGACCCGCCGGGATGCTGTAGATTTTAATCCCGGATAAATGACCCAGTCTACAAGTCCTAATTCCTTGCCTCGGGTTGAAAGCCACCGTGCAACAGCTAAGGCATTCTCACCGTGGGCTTTCATTCGAAGGGCAAGTGTTTTGACTCCACGTTGTGCGAGCCAACTGTCGTAGGCGCTTGGCACAGCTCCGATAGCATTTTGAAGGAAGCGAAGTTTAGATTCCAATGTGGCTGCGAGTGGTTTAGGATTAGGGTATTCGGTAGGTGTGTGTGGAAGAGGGAGAACGACTGCTCCCATGAGGACATCTGAATGACCGTTGACGTATTTTGTGACCGAGTGTAAGACGACGTCTGCGCCGAGAAGGAAAGGGGAAGAGTAGAAAGGAGATAGGAAGGTATTATCTACTATGACGAGTGGACGAGAAGGATGAGAATTAGCGATGCGAACGATTCGGGGTATGTCACTAATGCGAAGCGTGGGATTAGTTGGGCTTTCAACCCAAATTAGCTTTGTATTATCTTGAATGCGTCATATACTTCGAGCTGATTCGAGGTCGATGAAAGTGGTAGCGAGGTTTTGAATGACATTTGCGACTCGGGTGAAATATCGGGCAGTACCACCATAGACATCGTTGACGGATAGAATTGGGACCCGCAGCTGTCACAAGCAGCGCGGTGGCACTGGACCCAGAAGCTACTGCTATGGCAGTATGACCGCCTGCTCCGAAGCTGCGGCGATTTGGGTTGTCGGAGCGAGTGTATTCGAATCCCTGGATGCCCCTAGGAAGGCAAGGGGGTTATGATCGGTAAGAAGTCCGATGAGTGAAGAGTAAAGATGAAAGGAATTAAGGACAGGACATACTTTGTGAATGCCTATGGCATATTGTTTGTATGTGGTGCTGAGGGAGATGGCAGGGATGACAGCACCAGTCTCACCACTAGGCTCGGAGCCTACATGGATTGCACGGGTGGCGAATCCAGCCGTCGAGGCATCGAAATCTATTATTGGTGGTAAAAAAAACATTAGGAATGATCCGTCTAGGGTAGGAGAGGTGGATACAGACGATCTTCAGCAGATACAACAGAAACTGTATCGGATGGCGTTGAGGTTGGATATCAGGCTGTAGACCGGAGACGATGATGAAAAAGATATTATATCTAAAAGGATATACTGGAAGGAGAAAGGGAAAGGAGATATGGCGCCTTCTTTTATGGGGATTGAGGAATACTCTTAGGATTAACGATATGTAGATACTTGCGTGTAATTTCGTTTTTTCGTCCTTTTCTCAGCACGGACTGTGAATGGACTGAATAGCGAGAAAGGCTCATGATTTATGTACAGCGTTTATGTAACATATACCTCATACTGGTCTGCCATTGAACCATTTTGAGACCCCTGCCCTTGGCGCTCTCACGAGCAGCCTGTAGTCTGCAGGATGAATATACACACACACCATGAAACCATGAAACCGACTCTTCTTGGTCTACATATCACTAGGTAGTGGCGGGAGGAGCCGCATCAGCGAAAGCACTCGTCCTTCCGTGCCATCACGTCATCTTTGGGTCTGATTCCATTCATGCCTTCCGTGATATCCCCGTCGGTAAATTATTATATCCATAATCTCACCGCCGCGCGTGCTCCCTCACTCAGACTTAATTCTGGCCTCTCCCAGCTACACGGCAATGACTGCAACTGTGTATACATACACCATCTATCTCATCTTTGACTACTTCTCCCCGTAAATCATCCATTTCCACGTTCGGCAAGCCCATCCATTCCTGTCCCTATACAACCAGGATCGAGACAGAATGACGTGGACGTGGACGATCAGTGAGAGAGAGTGGATGGGTCTTTGGGTCTTGCATTTCATCAAGGTGGGTATCGATCGACTCAGAACGATCATGTCTGTGTTCTTCTTCTCTTCTTCTCACCTCCTATATATTCGCGCTACACACCATCTACATCCACATCTTCCCCAGCATCTTCATATTTCATGTCTGCTTCTACCACCCAGTTTGAACGGCCCCGGCGCATGGATGTATGGGGGAACGGCTTCGCCTGGAATTGCATTGCCCACTTACTTGCTCCCCGATCCCGCCTCCCCTTTTACTACTACTTTCCATGACGAAGAAGAGGAGACTATACTAGGGCACCACCATTCATCTCATCCATCGACTACTACTGCCAAGGCTCAAGGTAATAGGCGGACGTCAATGATCCGTCTCGCCCGGCAGAACTTGGGTCCTTGATCTCGATGAGGAGGGGAATTCGATGGGTTTGGGAGTGATGTTGAACACCAGGCACAGCAGGCGTGAGTTATTGTTTCTTTTATTTTCCGTGATATTCTACTTCGCCTCTCCCTACTTCGTAATCACTTAAATCGACATATTCAAACCATCTCTTTTCGATTTTAGATCAAGCTCTGCAGAGTCTGCACGGAAACGGTGGGATCTGTTTTCTGTGCGAGTTCATTTGGGCGTTTTCCACGCGAAGAAACGACTTTCCAATCTAAAGCAGGGCGGTTCTTCTGTGTCATCGTCATCAACTTTTACTGCATCTCCGACGATACCTAGCTCGAATCCGGCAGGGCTGCGGTCGCCCAAGTTAGCACCTAGTTTTCATGTCTCCTCCATCCAAGTTACTTCATTTCTAGAAGGGAGATCTCGTAAAGATGCCTATCATACCCTGCGAGCTGACTTCAAGGGTGTTGACTACTAATCGCGTCGTATCTTATCGATTTTCGATGGGATATCGTATCCATCCATCTTTGACTTTTCGACCCTCAATCCCTTATCTCTTTTTCTCTTTCCATGGAGGTATGGCATGGATTTTATGCAATCTCTCGCGCTGAAGTCCTTCATATATTGCATCACGACACCGCACCCACGAAGCAAGAGCATGAACATTACGACAAGCACGAACGGCATTGTATTATCAAGCTCAAAATTTCCTAAATTACTGTATTACTAGCAGATGAGCTCGTCCTTCGTTCTCCGGTTGCGTGTCCACTGCGCAACATCTGCACTGTATCATTAATGTTCCTCCGCAACAGACTGTGGAAGGAAAACCCTCATCACTTTCCCCTCGCGTTTCCCTTCCACTTGTCAGAGACACGGGTATTATCCATCCGAGGATCCTTCCTCTCGCTTTGTATTCGTCTTACAATTCGACTCTATTGTATCTTTCCTCTATGCAACCCATAGGTTCGTGCGTCTATCATGACTTCTCTAAAGCGGTTTCCTTCCCGTCACACTTGATGCCCTCTCTTCTATGCTTCCAACCTAGTTGCCCTTCTCTCCCATTTCCATTCCCTTCCGTATTTGTTAATCTGTTCGAGTTGTTCACTGGTGTGTGGGTCACTCGAAGTTGCTTTTCCTCGACGAGTCGAGTGTATACCCACCACCACTCTTTTGCTTGATTAGCAATGCGTTAGATGGGTAATTGGTTTTAGTTTATTTGGATTGGAATGCTCAATGCAATCTACTTTGGATACCCCAACGATTAGTCGCTTTTGTCTAACTGATCACGATGAGAGAGACGCAGAAGTCATGCACACTCACTTGGATATGAATGATAAGGAGGTTGTATTCAGAGGGAGCCCGGGTGTGAGTGTGGTGACTCTGAGAATGGTTTGTGGGTATGCGGGGATGTGGGGGAGACATTAGGATGAACAGGCAATATGCCTGCGCACGACATCAGAGGACCAGGGATAGCGCGTGAGATCCAAGACGATAGGGTGACGATGTCAGTCCCTAATCGTGATGTGGTGGGGCAAGCGGCGGAGCAGCGCTGCCGCTCGGTCCTATGATGACATCCGTGACGCAATCAACGTTAAAGTGTATTAAGTGATCGTGGGGCGCCCCGCTCTCTCTCGGCCATACCGTTAAGTGGAGTGAAGATGGTGAATGTCAGACGGAGCAATTAGCGCGCCTGCGAGCGGACGTCACTGGAACCAGATTAATAGCGGCCAGGATTGTTTCGAATCATGAAACGTCGATCGCGAATGTGATATGTCTGGTGTTGACCTGAGCAGGCAGATGCGGACTTCGGAGACCAGACAAAGATGGCTTTGATGGATGAGATTCCCTCTGAAGCAGACATCGCAACGGCCAGATGGATCCCCCCAGCTGTCATTCCGCGATTTCTATGTGCTTCTTCGTCATCGTACTTGGGTATTGTGAGAAGCTAGCATGAATATGTGAGGAAGATCGAGAGACGATCTTTGGCAGGAGTCTGTGCACAAAGTTCTGTCATATCGCAGCCAGGGTGACATTTAACAAAACCACAGTCGGTCCCTGAACCCAAGTCACAGAGTACGAGATTGTATTTTACACATGTATTGGCTCCTCATTTAGACCGTCGGGATGGGCGCCTGTGTGGATGCGAAGAACTTCCTGTTTAGTGTCGTGCACGAGGTTGCAACGTGTTGATTTTTCGTGTCATTGTCAATCGTCCTTATAGTCTGTTCAACATGCGAACGTTCCTCAAAAAATTAAAGGGGAAATTCTCGACGAAGGGAGCTACATCGTCGCCGGTTCCAGGTGCTTCCTCTGCTGAACCCGCACCACGGCCTTCCTCTGTTGAGTCAATAGTGACACCCGCACCTGCACCCGCAGTGGTAGCCGAACCTGAAGTGGCAGCGGCACCCTCAAGTAATGCGGGTTTCAGTACCGTTTGGAACGGTGTTCTGGACGTGCTGCGTATTGCTCAAGCAAGTCTAGATAGTGTCCCTGTTCCTGGGCTCAAGAGCGCGATTGGAGGCTTCCTTGAAATAGTTCACCAGTTGGACGTAGGTTCTGTAACCGCCGCGGCGGGGACGCAACGCTAATAGTTGCCCTCACAGACAGTCGGCGCAAATGTAGATGCGATTCATCAGCTTGAGGACACTGTCAAATTCTTTAACCAGTCAGTATCGAAGCCACTTGAAAAATACGGAGGGAAACCCTCTGTTCCTTCCGAGCTAAGCGAAGCCATTGACGCTTTATCGGGGTATGTTCAGATATCCTGAGTGGTTCTCAGAGTCAGAGCATTCTGACCGTCCCTTTCAGTGAATTCGTAACGGCTATTTCGCCTTTGAAATCGTACGGGGACAAGAGCCTTGGCTACCGATGGGCGAATCTTCAACCAACCGCAGCCGAGGTGGGGAAGGCTGGGGGAAGGATACGCGATGCTTTAGAGGCCTTTAATGTAGATATCCTTCCGCTACTTTATGTATCACGCTGGAAGCACTAATATATGGACATAGGTTGCACAAGGGGTCCGACATTACTTACAGAATGAGGTATGGTACAGCTTGCACTGGCTTTCTCACAGCACCAAGCTGACCAATACCCTAGCAACTTCGCGAGGGGATCGAGGAGATTAAGGTAATTTTTCGACCCCAGTGTACGCATCATAGGTGCTGACTATTTCCAGGCGTACAAACGCAACGAAGCCTCGGCTGAAGAAGCGAAGCAGTTAGAGTCTCTTCTCAACAGGCTTCCACATACTTCCAAAGCTGGCTATGACACCAATCGGCCTGGTGCTCCGTCTAACTGTTTTCCCGGAACGCGAACGAAAATCATTAAGGAGGTTAATCAATGGTTGCACCACTCTATCAGTGATACAACAAAGCCAGTGTTGTGGTTGAATGGTCTAGCTGGGATCGGCAAGTCGACTATTGCGCGTACCATTGCGGAGTATGAGTCTGACCTCCTTGGATCAACCTTCTTCTTTGTCCGTCAAGAGGACGAGTTGTCCAACGCGAAGCGCTTCCTTGGGACGATCGTGCGGGACTTTGCCAAGAAACTTCCGAAATTCGGTGCCGCTGTCGCAGAGGCATTGAAGAAGGATGACAAGCTTTATGATGCCTCCCTTGCCACCCAATATTCCTCGCTCCTCTTTACCCCCCTGAAAGACCTCAAACTCTCCGAACCCCTCTTCGTGATAATTGATGCCCTAGATGAGTGTGAATGAGATGGAGCAAAAGAGTTGCTCCACCACATCCTTGGCTGCTCTGGCTGCCCTTTCATCACTGGCTGCTCTGGCACCCCTGGCTGCTCTGGCACTGGTCTCCGCATCCTCATCACAAGCCGACCAGAATCCCATATCACTACGGATCTTGACCATGTTGACAAGATTGTGATTCATGAAGCTGATAGTTCACATGACATTGAGTTGTATCTTCGGGATGGACTCCAGTCTATTTGTAAACGATTTGGGAATCTTCCAGATGGGTGGCCTTTTCCAGGTATGATCTCAGCTCTTGTGGGGAAAGCTGGCCAGCTTTTCATCTGGGCTGCCACTGCCATCAAGTTCATAAATGATGATGATGAGGGTCCTGTTTATCAACTGGACTCCATCTTGAAAGGCAGTCAGGAAGCCGATGTGGGTCCCCATGCTGAGCTTGATAGGCTATATGAAACTGTTTTGTCTGCCTGTGTTGCCAAAATCCTCAACACAGGCAGACAAGACAGGCTTGTGGAGCTCCATTGTCTTCTACAGACCATTGTCCTGCTCAAGGATCCATTGACCCTGAAAGGGCTGGGTGCTTTCACTGAGGTCTCCAATCCCAAGTCACTGCTTACACGCATCCAATCCATTGTGCCACTACCACCACATGTAGAAGACAGAGTTGAAGTCTACCACCCTTCCTTTCCTGATTTTGTCTTGCAGCGATGCAAGAATCCTCAGCTCAGGGGTGATGTGGAGAAGCATGAGCAGTGGATGGCTCTTCGTTGCCTGAACCTTCTCATTGCTGAGCTAGGACCAGGGAGTTCACTCAAGGTGGATATGAAGGATCTAAGTGTCAGGCCCACTTCAGTAGTTAAGGAGGAAGTGCAGTATGCATGCTGCTTTTGGACATCCCATCTATGCAAGCTGCAGTCAGTTGATGAAGAAGTCAGGGATACACTGGAGAAGTTCACTGGTCAAGGGGGTGGAGTTGAAGGGGGAGTGTTACTGCAATGGATGAAAGTCCTATGGGTGATTGGGAAAGTGGATCATATTGTTCAAGGATCAAAGGAAACTCTTCTCTTCATGGTAAATGATCATGCTGTTTACATCAGGTTCTTATCATTAACCTTTAAGATAGAAAACTAGCTGCTTAGCCCACATTCAGCCTGTTGTGCATGATGCCTATTCAAGGCTTTCCTGGCTTAGTGACATCCAGTGGTGGCAGTGGCAGTGGCGGCAGCAGCAGCAGTGGCAGCAGCTGGAGCAGCTGCTGCAGCTGGAGGGGTGGCTGCTGCAGCAGCTGGAGGGGCGGCTGCAGCAGCAGCAGGGGCTGCCACAGCAGCAGCAGCAGCAGCAGCAGGAGCAGCTGGAGCAGCTGGAGCAGCTGCGGCAGCAGCTGCTGGAGCGGGAGCTACCGCTGCTGGAGCTACCGCTGCTGGAGCGGGAGCTGCAGCTGCTGGAGCAGTTGCTGCGGCAGGTACAACAGCAGCCACAGCTGGTGGAGCGGCAGCCACAGTTGGTGGACCGGCTGCAGCTGCTGGTGGAGCAGGAGGTGCTAGAAATGGATCAGGAGGTGCTGAAAAGAGGAGTACAGGAGTGGTGTGATGAGCTACAGCAAGTGTGGTGGCAGGACATGGAACAGCACAGCTACACTTTGCCTAAATAACACTGATCAGAATTTTCCTCAGTCATCATCCCATGAAATGCCTCTTTATGTGACTGTAAAATTCCATATACTGCATATGTATTCATGACCAATCTGAGCATGAGTGGAGTAGCCTTGGCCTCAGTGACTCAGAGCAGAGCACTGTGCCAACATTCAGTATGCTGGTGTGTGGCTCTTAACTTACTGTCAAAGAACACAAGTCTGTATGTGTGAGGTCTCAGTGGGTAGCTCAGTGTTAGAACTGGGCGAGGGCAGACAATTCCGGAGGGGAACCAGAGACTTAGCAAGGAGGGACCTTGGCCTCAGCGACTCAAGCGGAGCGCTGTGCCATTGCTGTTTGTCCATTTGGTCCTTAATTTCATAGGCGGTGAGCAGGAAGTCTCTAGGGGGCATTTCAGGTCGATTTTAGACTAAGGCCTAAAACGAGTATGTACAAGCGCCGATATATATAATGGAGAGGGCGAAAGCACAAGGAAACAAAGGGGTTCTGAATTGGAACGAAGACATCTGAACAGGAACAAAGTGTCGGGGACAGCTCCGAAAGCGGCGAGGTCCTGGCGCGAGGGACTCGATGGGACAGATGTCGGCTATGCGTAGCGGCGGTCCCATTGTGGGGTGAGCGTCCCCGATCACTTAGTCTGAAGTGGGAAGTTGGAATTATCATTAAAAGGGGAAGCTACGGTACTTACCTGAAGTGGGAAGTTGAGAAGAAGGCTGCTTCTTCTGTTCCCACCCCAGGTGCTATTATATACATGTGGTTGGGGTCACATGGGAGGAGCCACGTCATCCCCGCACTCCCCTGGGTATCTCCGTGGGAGATCCCGGAGGTGTGCCGCTCTGTGAGCGGGAATGCGCGCGGCGATCAGGGGAGCGGGGTTAAGTGTGTAGTAATACATAGAGAAGGGGAAGTCGACCATGGAACGGAAATAGAAAGGAAGAAGGAAAGGGGAAAGAAGAAACAGGGAGTGATAGCGGGGGAGCGGAGTAGGGCGGCGCGGCACGGGGTCAGGTGGGGTGTGCCCTGACACAAAGGGATGACAGAAGTGGAGTGGTACCGAAGGTCATAGGGCTGAACCTGTGGTACATCTGAAAGGAGGTAAGGGGGGTGAAGCCCAGAGGGGCAGGAGGATGAGGGGAAGTGGGGATGATGACTAACTGGCTAGAATGGGAAGAAGCAGCAGTCCAAATAGGGATGAGGGGGAAACGTGAAAGATACATTACAAGCGGTGAAAGTGCCGAAGATGATCCATGGAGCTTGGAGGTTGCGGAGCTTACGGAGGTTACAGAGGCGGGGTTGAAAGTTCGAGGAATATTGGCAATGGTGTTTACGTAGTATGAGGTCACCAATGCAATGGACTAAAGCCGAGGTGGAGTCAAAGTCTGAGGTAGGAACTATGATGGAGACTCGGAGCGAAGGTACGAGCGGTGCCCAAGTACGAGGTACGGGACAGCGGTGGAAGGTTGTAACTTGGTGGGAGGTCGGCAGAAGAGGGCCAGAGGGAAGAGAGAGGAAAGAGGAAAGAGGAAAGGCATGGAGGAGAGGAAAGGTGTCAGGTCCGAAGGTGAGTATCGGAGTGGACGGACGAAGGGTAGGAGAATGACGGAAGGGTGGAGGTGTTGTGAGGAGGAAGTGGAGGAGTGGGAGGAGTAGGAGGAGGGTGGCGAGAGGAGTGGTGTTTGGTCCGAGGTGAGTATTGGAGCGGACGGAGATAGGACAGGAGAAGGATGGAGGAGTGGAGGTGGCATGAGGGGTGAGAGGAGGTGTGGTGTCAGGACTGAAGGTGAATATCGGAATGGACAGTGGTAGGGCAGGACTCCGGAGTCCTAACTTACCGCTGTCCGTTCCGATACTCACCTTCGGTCCTGGCAACACACCTCCTTTTACCTCCCATGCCACTACTACTCCTTCCCTCTCCTCCCCTATCTCCATCCGCTCCGATACTCACCTTGGACCAAACACCGCCCCTCTCGCCACCCTCCTCCTACTCCTCCGCTCCTCCCTCACTACACCTCCACCCTTCCGTCATCCTCCTATGCTTCTCCCATCCACTCCGATACTCACCTTCGGACCTGACAACTCTCCTTTCTGCCACTCCTTCCCTCTTCCCTTTCTCCTCTCTCCTCCCTCTGGTACTCTTCTGCTGACCTCCCACCAAGTTACGACCTTCCACCGCTGTCCCGTACTTCGTACTCGGGCACCGCTCGTACCTTTGCTCCGAGCCTCCGTCATAGTCCCTACCTCGGACTTTGACTCCACCTCGGTCTTAGTCCATTGCATTGGTGACCTCATACTACGTAAACACCATTGCCAATATTCCTCGGACTTTCAACCCTGCCTCCGTAAGCTCCGCAACCTCCGAGCTTCGTGGATCACCTTCGGCACTTTCGCTGCTTGTAATGTATCTCTCGCGTTTTCCCCTCATCCCTATTTGGACTGCTGCTTCTTCCCATTCTAGCCAGTTAGTCATCATCCCCACTTCTCCTCATCCTCCTGCCCCTCTGGGCCTCGCCCTCCCTACCTCCTTTCGGATGTATCACAGGTCCTGCCTTATGACCTTCGGTACTGCTCCACTTCTGTCTACCCTTTGTTCCTATTCAGACGTCTTTGTTCTGATTCGGATCCCCTTTGTTCCCTTGTGCTTTTGCCCCCTCCATTATATATATCAGCGCTTGTACATACTCGTTTTGGGCTCAGTCCGAAATTGACCTGAAATGCCCCCTAGAGACTTCCTGCTCGCCTACTGTGAAATTAAGGACCAAATGGACAACAGCAATGGCACAGCGCTCCACTTGAGTTGCTGAGGCCAAGGTCCCTCCACGCTAAGTCTCCGATTCCACTCCGGAGTCGTCTGAACCAGTGCCTCATCTCTAACAGATATGACACCTAGCAGGTCAGGGGTTGTGAATTAATTGGTGGTGATGTGGATGAAAATAACTTCCCAATTAGTTTCCATGTCTCATCAAAACAAACAAACACTGGTGCATGTGATGCTAACCTTTTGTCCACCTGCTGCCTGACTAGCTATTCATTGGACAGGGACAACCTCATGAGGCCAGGGTGGTTAGGTTACACAGAGAAAAACTCTGCATTAATGTTCCTTATGTTTTCTGGATTTTTTCTTTCATTTCATGTCCATTTGACCTCAAACTCGGTGTACTGGTAGTCCTAGCAACTATATATATACACACCAAAACTCACTCCTAAAAGTGAAGAAATGAGAGTGTTGTGTTGTGATTAATCATTGTTGGGTAAATCTCATTGAGGGGTGAAAACCTGTATAGAATAGCATGGCCAGACTGTCAGGGACTCATCCAGGGTCAAGGAGGCCCAGGTGCAGCATCCGGCGCTGAGAGCCTGGCAGGGGGCAGATCGGGCATGCGTACTGACAGGCCCGATGTGGGACAACAGTCCCTGGCCACTTAGACTGAAGTGGAAAGATTATTAAAAGGGGGATGCTATACTACTTATGTGGAAAGATGAGAAGAAGGCTAC